GTCATTGTGTTAGAGCTGTACTGACGTGCAGGTACCTGGACACGACGAGTGGGAGAATCAGCATCTTCAGCATCCTCATTAGTAGCTCACCAGGAAACTGAAAGTACTTCACCTCCTGTCAGGGTAAGAGAAGAGAAATAATGGTCACGGGTAATTTTAGGAAGTCTATCACACAGATTTTTGAAAAGGACCTTATGTTACTTAAAAAGAAATAATGAACAGGAGCAGGGCATGACAGTGACACATAATGAATTACCTTTTGAAGAGTTTAGATGTCTGTTATAAAAAAAAATTCAGTTTCATGGACAGAAATGAGACTCTGACTATTTTCCTATTTTTCTTCTTTGCTAATAAATGGGTACATGTTTAATCTGCATTGTAAACACCTTCATCTCACCCTATCTCTTGCACTCTGTCACACCAACTCTCTGAATGTCATCCTTCACTACATCTGTAAAGCTCGTCTGTGGCATTGCTCTTTTACTGCTGCCTGGCAGCTCCATCTTCAGCCTTCTTCCTCTGCGTGTTCTCCAAACTGTCCTAGCCTTGTGTCTCCAACGTTGTCTCCAAGCACCTCAGCCTCAGCATTCCCTCCTTGTGTTCTCCTTTCTAATCCTGTCCCTCCTGGTCACTCCCAGCATTCTTAACATCCACCATCATACAGGAAGAAAATGCACATCCAGCACAAGCCATTATAAAAAATGTGATGATGAATTACACTTAAATATTGTAGATTTCCTAGTACAGAAAATCTTTTGATTCATCACTGTCCTTCCCACACCTCTGCCAGGTTGAGAAACAAAATATCACAAGACTTGCAGAAATAGAAAACAACATATTTTTGTCCTTATGCTAAGTTTAACAAGCAAAATGGTATTTGAAATTTTGATTTTCACAACAGTAACAATGTGTGGAATTTGAGAAAAAGAGATCATTTCATCTAAAGGATAGATGTAACACCCTTAGATGAGGGCTGGTTGCAGCAGAATAACGGTGGCTCACAGTATCACGTAGCAACCTGTATTTAAAAGTGGTTTGTTTCTGTAAAATTGTAGCAATACATACTAAGTAACAAAACAGTATGTGCCTCAGAGCCCAAGCTTGGGCATCATTTAGAGACTCAAATCTCAAAAGATGGGAAACAAATCCAGCACTCACGGATCAAATGTTCTATATTTGAATCCTCTCAAGGAGCAGGTGTATGCTGGTTGAAATTCACTCTACTTGGTGAAGCACGCTGACAATAAACACAAAGAATGAGAGAAAGAACATGGGAGCTTGTATGATGGAAGGATGGAGGTGAATTGGTGAAAGAGAAGCTGGAGAAAGTGTTAAGAGCCACCACATCATCTACAAGCTTATGTCAGTATAGAGAAAAGGGTTCTTCAGGTATTGTCTTTAGGTTCAGTAATTGGCTCAAAGAGGAGAGCGTAACAAATGCGATCATTTCATAGCAGTTGTAACTGAAAACCAAGATTTGAATATGTGAATATTTTCTCCCTTCTTTAGACTTTAACCCAGGTTTAGCAGCAGACCATATGAAGTCGACAGGTGGTCACTTGGCTCAAGTCATGCTATGCACAATTATAACCATACATGCACAGTACACCCATAAAATAATGTAGCCACAATGTTAAACAGTCTAAAAATACCTGTCTTAGATTGCAGAGGCAACCCATATGGAAAAGATATATATAAATCTTATAAAGTTTGTATCTGTCTTGTGTGAAACTTGTATGAAAAGCATACAAGAGTGAAAACAGATATAAGATCCCTTGAAAAATTATATAATGAAACTTGTATGTTTTGGATACTTACTAAAACAATATATGAAAGTAATGAGAAAGTGGCCACTTTCATGAGTAAATCATGTAAGTTTTTACTATTTCTTTTCCATATGGGAAAGCAGGAAACAAAAAGGAGAAACATTTTTTCTGAAAGTGGATCAATGAACTCACCAGCTAATTGTGAACACAGAATCTCCTCAGCACATTTCTACTTGTTTCGCAGTTTTTCAGTACCTCCATGCTTTAAAAGTAGTTGCACAAACTGACGACTGAGGTATTTTTGGTTTCAAAGAGACATTAGAAGCAGTCTGACTGTTATTGGCCTATCCACTCTGTCTTCTTCTTTTACCAGGACTGCTAGAGAAGCACTAAAGTGTTAACTGAAAAACTTGCACAGCTATGACTTTTTACTAATATGGCTATTTAAGGTTTTCATTAACAAACTATATGAATTAATGCAACTTTTATTATTAATAGAATTCAGCTAAGGGGGCACAGATACTTTACTGGGTGGGCCTAACAACAACACTAATCATAACCTAATCATATTAAAGTATCCATAAAGAAATTCTGTACATTAATATTAACAGCTGTAGCAGAAAGCTAGCTCTCTTATTCATAAAACTGGCTCTGTGCCACAACTAGGCAAACTATAACCCTGGTAGCTCTGATGCTAGCGTTTAAAACCCAGCTAGCTGGAGCTACCATCACTGACATATCAAACATTTTGGACATTTACTGCAGTGCTGCTTCTTTTTGTTTCAATTCAATGGGCTACATACTGAACTTTAGAATTAGAAACAAAGTATCAATCCTTATTGAAAATCGCTGACAATTTCTCCGTCATTGAGGAGGGAGTGCCACACAGTTAGTCATTTCTTTTTCATTCAGATTCATTCCTGACTGAATAAGTGGAAAAAAATTAACAGGGTGAATTAACAAATTGTTAAAAGTGTTTAAAAAGCAAAAAAAGGCAATTGTGTTGCCAAGGCCGATTGACTTTGATGTTGACTTTAGCCTTGAGATGAAATTATGTCCCTGGCTGTCACAAAAGCAGTGATTTTGTAATTCCAGTTGGAACAAGGTAGGTGATGAGTATTTTATCAAGGTTGTAAATCCCACAAAGCCTCAGATCTTCTATTGCTTTCATTTGTATATACAGATTTCCCCCCCTAACTGGCAGTTTATTATAACATACTGGAACAACTGTAAGTTCATGACCTGCGATAAATTGAAAGCCTGTCGTGGGAGTACCAGGCTATCAATTTATCGCATGGATGGAAAATGTGATGTTAAAGTGGTCCAGAAAAAGAAAAATCTCACTGTTAACTTTCACTGGTGTTGCATTTCTTTGATGTTTACATGAGAAGTTGTTAAGCATTAAACAGAGATTTGTTAAATCAGATGGAAAAAAACAGCTGCAGCAGAGCAGGCTTACACATATGGACAGTGTATTAACATGGATGACATACCAGCTTTTGACCTACAACAGCTTACATTTCTCTGCTTTTCACTGCATATGTTCAGATTTCATTTTATTCAGAAATTACCCCAGTTGGTCAATAGAAAACGGTCAATAGAAAACATGTAGTCGCTTTCTTGTTTGACCTTTGTTGTCCTCTATTTTTTGAATTTGGATTTCCTTGTTGATTGTAGCCTCCCTTGTGTTTCTCCATGTTCAGTCATGTATTAGTTTTGTTTCTGTGTTTTGTTGCTTCCAGATTTATTTTGTAAGTCTTCTGTCTCTTGTGCTTTCCCTTTATTTTCACTTAAGCAGGCCTTTCATTTCAGCTCTGCATTGTTGCCCCATGTCTCAACTCTACCAAATTTACTTTCTGCATGTTCTCTAGATGAATACAGGACTACCTATATAAATTTATCTTGATTTTTGGTGTTTTTTTTTTTTTAAACCTGTACTGTAATGGACCCATCACAGGAGATTTCTCTGACATGTTTCTTAATGATTACAATGAATGCACTTATAAAAACAATACACTGGAAAGCAATAAGATCATGTTTGTTTTGTATTTTTATAAGATTTAATATCATTCATTCATTCAATTCAGAAAATGCCCAACTCATCATAGTGCTGCACAGTGATGGCAACAAGAAAGATCAAAAGAAACATTTAACCTATTATTAAACTTAATTGGCTCAAAATGTAAAAGAACCCACCCACCACTTCAATCACACCCTGGATCTTGTTCTGACATGTGACATAGGAACTGAACATTTATGCAGTGTTCCCTGAAAACCCTCTTTTGTCTGATTACTTCTTAATAACACTTAAATTTACAATAATGGATTACTCAATAGTGGGTAATACATTTCATTACTGTAGACGTCTTTCTGAAAGTGCAGTAATTACATTTAAGCATATTTTTCCTCCACTTATTGTGTCAACACAGTGCAGAGCTGCTACGCCCACATGGTGTCACATCGACATTGTGCATGACTCTGGATACTGTGGCGCTTCTGAAAAAGAAAGCCTCAAATCACAAGTACTTGACTTCCTGGTATAACTCTCTAATGTGCACCTTATAGCAGATAACCCAAAAGTTAGAGAGGAAATGGTATCTCATTAATTTAGAAGATCTTCATTTAACCTGGAAAGATAGTTTATTGCTCTATATAAAAGCCCTCCTAAAAGGCTAGGACATCTTACTTTTCATTAGTGAAGAAAATAAGAGCAACCCCAGTTTTCTTTTCAACACTGTAGCCAGAATCAGTCTGCTGAGCCAAACTTTCCTTGAACCTTAACTAGTAATGAGCTCACAAGTTTCTTCACAAATAAAAATCTAACCAATAGAGAAAAAATTATTCATAACCATCTCATGCATCATTACATGCAGATACTTTCAATAACAGTACGACTGATGAGTCTCTCCAATTAATCTTTGAGTTAACTTCAGTAATCACTTCCTCCAAACCTTCAATGTGTCTGTTAGACCCCAATCCTACAAGACTGCTCAAAGAAGTCCTGCCATTAATTAAAGCTTAAATATGATTAATAGAGGTAGTTTAATCTTAAATATGATCCATCTATCTCTATTAATGGGCTACATATCACAAACCTTTAAGGTTTCAGTAATTAAACCATCACTTGATCCAGCTGTCTTAGTTAATTATACGTCTATACATCTCCAACCTTCCTTTTATCTCAAAGATAGAAAGAGTAGTTTTAAACTTAAGTGTCTAATCAAAGACACTTATATTTTAAAAAAAACATTTTTTTTAATCTTTCACAAATCACAAAATCAACACCTACTGTATGATGTGGTGAAAGTGGAGTTCAACTGACTATTACTCAGTTTTATGGAAAGAAATC